TAGGGGGTGATTGGTTGAACTGTAGATTTAAAAAATTTACTGTAGAATTTAGACTGTAGATGTTTTTGATGTAGTTGTATCTAATGTAGCTGTAGAAATTAAATGAAAAAAATATAAAAGGAAAGATATTCCTACAACAATCCTACAGCAATAATTTTTTGCTTTAGAAAATAAGCTTCCTACAACCACTTTTCCAATTTTTTTACTTTAGATTTAAAATCTACTTAAAGCATGATTGGTGATTTAAATGGTTGTAGATATAAATTAAAGCTAAAGTCATTACTTACAACCCAACCAATCACCCTCGTAATGTTAATACATATTTAGATTAATGAATTCTATACCCAGTACGTAATACGGGCTCAAACACTAGTAATACAAACAATATACAATTACAAGAAATAACGTATAACACAGAATCTTTTTGGTTCTAACTTCATTTATATAAGCACAATCTTAATCTCATATTTACCATTTCATCTTCTACAGGTTATGAGGAACCACAAACTCAACAACAATGGTATCATCCAAATACTCACCAACCTTCTCCTTCACCAACTCCTCGTGAGCCTCAGATTCCCCAAGATCCTTAAAATACACAACCGATCCAATCAAGAAACCCTTTGCTCTCGCCGGAGAGAAGTTCTCTCCCACACTGATCTCATCAGACCTCTCCTTAACCACTTCCACAATCTCCTTCTTCGCCTCGTCGGTGACGTCATCTTTCACCTTCAGCAACGTCACTCTCGCAACAGAACCTGCAGGAGGTTTTAGGACTCGAGGGACTTGATCGGCGATCCAGTCAACGGACATGATGTCTTCCCATATTGGCATGGTTTGCTCAACGACGCGAAGGTGGTCGGGATGTGCGACGTACGCGCTGAGATCTTCTTTGGATCTGTAGCGGCTGTGGAGGACGTGAGTGAAGGCCGAGGTGGATTTGAGACTGTGGATTGGAGCTGCGGAGATGTAAAGAACTTGGTCGATGGTGGTGAGGCTGTTGAGGTCGTTGACCATGGTGTCGATCTTGGTGGAGTCAACGTTGTCTTTGACCTTGAAAAGGACGATGTGCTCGATGATCTGAGACATGGCAGCGAAGTGAGGAGAAAGAGAGACGGAAGTTTAAAGGTGAAGAGATAAGATTACGATTAAACGTAGATTCAATATATATAGTGATATTAGTTACCAACCAATAAAATTGTATTATTACATATTTAATATTTTTTATAAAAAATAAAGTATTGTCAAATTATATTATAATTTTAAAAATTATAATATAATCCTAATCATAAATTTTGGATAAATCTTAAACACTAAGCAGAAAATACTAAATTTTAAAAACATCAACCTCTTAATCCTAACCCCTAAATATTTGGATAAAAATAAATAAAATTTTAAAAAATTTTAACGCTGTCAGCAAAACACTAAATTTTAAATACTAAAAACAAACTCAAAACCCGTTGATAAACCATAAATCCTAAGAGCATCTCCATTGGCGAACCAATGAGGCTCAATTCCTTAAGTGACTTTTTTGAATTTTTTTTTTCCGTTTGACTTTAAAAAAAAAATAATAATAAACATCCCACTCGCGGGCCGCCACGTGTTGTGGAACCCGCAGAATAGTCATGATACGGGTGTGATATAGGTTCAGTGGGGAGAGTCTGCAAGAGGCAGTATCACAAATCATGTGGGGTCCGACGATTATTATATTATTTTTGTTTTTGGGAAGTTGTGTGAACTTTGGGAATGATCCCTCGATAGGGATGGTCTAAGGTTTACAATTTATCCAAGGGTTTAAGAGTTAAGATTAAAGATTTAGTACTTTTAAAATTTAGTATTTAGTGTTTTTAATTAGGATTTAAGATTTATCTGATGGCTTAATTAAGATTTATCCAAGAGTTTAGGGTTTAGGATTTATGCTTCATAGTTTAGTGTATTGCTGATGACGTTAAAAATATTAAAGAAAAATATTTTTTTTATAACTATTATTATTTTATATTTATTACTTATTTTATTTTTATGTTTTTCTGCATATTATGAAATAATAAAATAATAAATATATATTAAATAACTAAGAAATCAATTACTATTATGTAATAATTGGCATGCACATAGAAATCAAACGACCTCTTTTGTTTATTCGCAATCATTTTAGGGTAAATAATTCAAAATAAGAAATCTATCTTTTTTTTTTTGACATCAAAAGACTGATCTATTACTCAAACTTGACATAGTCTGGAGAGCCAGACCGTAATAAAATAACCAACATACACAAGATCTCGATAGAAAGATCAAGATGATTTAGCTAAGACATCTTATATATTGTATATGATATATCTAATTATATTTAAATAATATTAATATATCTATATATATAGTATACTATTAATATAAATATTTATTAAATGGGATTTCTACTCATATGATTTTATGATTATTTGCATATTTATGTAACAAAATTTTACACCAAAGAAACATTTTTAATGTGGAATGTTTAGTGGTTTCAATAATTTATATCATTAAAAAAAACAGTGAAGATTTTAAAATTAAAATATTAAATTTTCAGTATATGCTCAATGCAAATATCAAAATATAAGTATGCATTTTCTGAGGTAGGAGTTGCAGTAGATCCAGAGAAGATTACTGCAATATCGAAGTGGCCTACACCTAAGAGTGCTACTGAGATCCGCAGATTTTTGGGGTTGGCTGGATATTACAGAAAGTTTGTCAAGAGTTTCGCCAATATCGCAAAGCCGATGACGTGATTAACATGCAAGGACGTCAAGTTTGACTGGACAGATGCTTGCTCGAAGAGTTCCACTGAGCTGAAACGACAACTGACGAAGATACCAGTTTTGGTACTTTCTAGACCGGGGATATCATATGAGGTTTATGCGGAATCATCTAGCATGGGTTTGGGATGTGTATTGATGCATGAAAGACAAGTTATTGCTTATGCATCATGACAGTTGAGACCTCACGAGGTCAATTACCCTACTCACGACTTGGAGTTGGCAGAAGTGGTATTTGCACTGAAGATCTAGAGGTCATATTTGTATGGAGAGAAGGTGCAGATTCTCACGGACCATCATAGTCTGAAGTACATCGTACTCAAGCAGACCTGAATTTGAGACAGCGAATGTGGATGGAGTTGTTTGCAAACTATAATTTGGACATCACTTATCATCCGGGCAGGCCAATCAGGTGACAGACGCCTTGAGTAGACGTAGAAGTGATGTGTCAGGAACCAAGGAGGTTCAGGAACTTACTGGGATGATTGCAAGTCTCATATTGTGTGTTACTACTGTAGAGGGGGATACAGCCGGTCTGGATGTCGTGGAACAGGAAGATCTACTATGGAGGATACGCAGAGCTCATGATGAGGCTTTGGTTAAGCAGACTGAGATCGAGAATTTTGGATACCATATAGCTTTGAGCGGGATGTACATGTACCGGAATCGAGTTTGTGTGCCAGATGATAAGTTGCTAAGGAAAGAGATTTTGCAGCAAGCACACCGTTTGTGTTTCTTTATCCATCCAGGGAATACCAAGATGTACAGGGATCTGAAGTGTTATTACCATTGGCCTGGTATGAAGAAAGATGTTGCTATATTTGTATCGTAGTGTCAAACAAGTCAGATTGTTAAGGCGGAGCATCAGGTGCCTAGCGGGTTACTGCAGAACATACCTTTGCCAGAGTGGAAATGGGATGTGGTGACTGGACTCCCAACAACGTGTGGTGGGAGGAATGTTATTTGGGCTATTGTGGATAGACTCACTATGTCAGCACATTTTTTAGCGATTAAGAAGACATACAAAGCTCACCAGTTGGCAGAGATATACATCAGTGAGATTGTGAGAATACATGGAGTTCATGTTAGTATTGTGTCAGATCGGGACACAAAGTTCACATCTGATTTTTGGGGAGCCTTTCAAAAGAAGTTTGGGACTAAGGTTCATTTGAGTACAGCTTATCACCCCCAGACAGATGGTCAGTCAGAGAAGACTATACAGAATTTAGAAGATATGCTCAGGGCTTGTGTTCTGGATTTGGAAGGCAGCTGGGGAAAGTATTTACCTCTAGCGGAGTTTGCTTACAACACCAACTATCATTCAAGTATTGGAATGGCACCGTATGAGACAATTTATGGTAGGCCTTGTCGTACCCCACTTTGTTGGACAGAAGTGGGGAAGAGACGAGACTTAGTTCCAGCGATGGTTGAGGAGATTGTAGAGCAAGTTGAGATGCTCAAGACTCCGCTTAAGGAAGCCCATGACCGGCAGAAGAGTTATGCAGATAAGCACTGCTAGGATTTGGAATTTGAGGTGGGTGACTTAGTATATCAGAAAATGAGAACATTTCAAGGAGGATCTAAGACCCAGAAGCTGAAGAAGCTTATACCGAGGTATATGGGACCATACCCTATTTTGGAACGTATTAGAGAAGTAGCTTATAGATTGCAGTTATCAGCTGAGTTGTCCGACTTTTATGACGTGTTCCACGTGTCAGCATTGAGGAAGGTAGTGAGAGAACCAGAGTTAATTTTGCAGCAGCCACCTCGTGATCTTGGTAGAAATTTGTCTACACGTATCCAGCCAGTTGAGATTTTGGAGAGGCAAGTGAAAACTGTTTAGGGATTGATGACCATGCTGGTTAAGGTTCGTTAGGAGAGAGATGGGATCTAGGAGGAGACTTGGGAGATTGAGACTTGGGAGATTGAGACTCAGATGAGGATAGATTATCCACGACTTTTTCAGGACGATATCGAACAGTCAGATCATGAGCGGAATTCGGGAACGAATTCCTTTGGCGAGAATTATAATGACCCAATTACTAGTCTAGTCGTTTTGGCCCAACAAGTCCCAATTGGTTTGCAAGAAACCCTAGGTGAGCACTATTTAAGCACTTATGACTCATTATTTTATTCATAAAAATCCCTAAACACTAGTTCTACAAAGACTGGCCGTCAAGTAGATCGGAGTCCGTACCACCAGTGTTACATCCAACCGAGACCGGCTCCACCACCCCGTTACTGTCGACCACCGCAAGTGAACCGTTCACCGCCGGTTCGTTAAGTTTCATCTTGGCCGTTTAGTAACTAAATGATATCTCGTTAACTGTTTGTCGTTTCAAAAATCTAAGGCCACCACCATGTTTGTGACGTCGAGACAAGTCTAGAGCACCAAGATCTACTTGAGATGACCTCTGACAAGCCTGCATGCGCAGGTTCTCTTTCGTGCTGTTCCGCGCATGTTTGTCACGCGCCGCCGCGCTTCGCCGCACGAGCCGCATGTGGATCCCACGCGCCACCGTCACTCGCCGCAAATCGCCACTGTCCGTGATTCCGGTAAGCCGCCAACCTCCACCTCGCCGCTGGTGACTCGGAAACTCGTCCGAATTGACACGGCGAGTCAATGCCGCGACTTAGTCAACCAGTTTGGCTAATTTGATTTCGGTTTGGTTAGTTGAATTGCAGTTTAAATTAATTGTATCTGGTGGGCATAAACCGGTTTGGTTATTGAGATTTGTTTTTGGTTAGGTTAACCGGTCGGTTAAATTGCATTAATTTTGGTTTGGGATTAAACCAGAATTGATCTAGTTCTGGTCCAACTGAAATTGAATCTAGTTAAGGGGAAAATGGTGGTTCAATTTGATTTCAATTTGGATTAGCCGTATGCTATAACCGCATGATTGTTTTGTTGTGCGCTCTAGGTGTCTTGTTTGTTCATGTTAGAACTAAACTTCCATAGTGGAAGTTCTATTTGACTTGAGTCAATGGTTTGCGTGTCTAGCATCTCATACTTCACTGAGTGACTCCCCTATTACTCAATCCTCCTTCTTTGTCTCTTTTAGGGGAGACTGACTATCAGAAGTGATCATTTCGGACTGGTGATTTTGGGAGTTTTATTTCTTTCTTTTCAGACTTATTATTTTTATTCTTTTATTGATATTTTATGGATTTTCTACGTTATTTGGATTTATGTTTATTTATTGGATTTATGGAGTCTAGAGACAATTTATGTAGAATAATAAATGGAGATTTCAGACATTTTTATTCATCTTATTATTTGGAAAATGCGGGTATGAC